GAAGTCATGTGTACTTTCACTAGATCACCTAATGAACGATCGCCAAAAAGTTACTGAGATCGCGGAATGACTGTGCCACCTTCCAATCTTTCTCGAATAGTTAAGCCTAATTTTGCGAATATGCGGATGGTTTCTTGAGTATATCCTTGTAGAGGAAATCAAGTAGATCATTTCTAGAAAAAACCCGAACTCAATATTCAAATTCTATCTAGAGAAAAAAAGCCGCGAAAAAATCCGCAATAATTATGCATCAACCTAATATAATAGTATGCTAATCGCCTCTTGTTAGTTTTTCTTTCTTTACAATTTTTTATACTTCCTCAGTAGCTCTCTGTGGGTCGCTCACCTAACAGAAAGAGAGTGGTTTTTTTTCACGGAAAGTAGATTCATCAAGTGAGTCGAGGGGTTTTTGTGCTAACTACTATACAACTTTGACGCTGAGAAACTCGCCCCTAGCCTTGTTTAATGTCTAATACGCTGGAGGGTGGAGAAGGAGTCTAGGGGTATTAGAGAGAAATACTTTCCGTAAGATTCCTCAATATGGCGAGACGGAACTGGTATCCAATGTCGAGAATTGTAAGGAGCAATTCAAAGGGGATAACGAGGACAGCGGTATAAGAATGAACGTAAACACATTCTACCGTTTTCGGAGTTTCAAGCTAAAAATAGGGTATAGAAGAAAGGATCTTCCACGGGAAAAGAAAAAGCTGGATAGCAGTTGAGCAGCTCACCAGTAAGTGCTGCTGCATCGGGAATGTGGAGCTGATTGTATCTAATGCCCCGTTCTTGAGAGCTGGTTAAAGGCACAGTTAACGATAAAAATGTTTTCTGAGATTCCTCCTCAGGATGAATTTGAGGCCCCGCGCATACCGTATCTAGCACTATTAGGTCGGAAAACGGCCTGGTTAGAGAGTTATAAAGGCTCAAAGATTGGCTCGTGTGATCCCCGGACGAGTTTCACCGGCATTGTATAGGCTGCACCGATCACAAGGATACCCATGTAAGAAGTTCAAACAACTTGTCATATCCCGTAGCGACAGTGAAAGACAGTTCAGTACAGTTCCGGCTTGATGTACTCAGCTCTATTAGCAATTGCAATAACTGAAATCTCGTCCGAATACCCCATCCAATTTATTTCCGTCATGGCAATCTCGTCCAACCTCTAATTCTCCCTACTTTTGAGGAGCCATATTTTTCTCGAAACCGGCGAATTCTCTCGCTTTCTTCACTACCGATGAACTTTTCCAATCTATACTTCCGCTTTTCGAATAAAAACGGTTACCTCAAAATTGTCGTGAAGTGTGCCTTTAACTGGTCAGGCGTATATTTTACTTATAGCATGACCACCAATTTGAACGCCTTTCATCATAGCTATGGGTTAGAGCAGTGATGACGGTGAAGGAGACGGCTGAGCGAACATTTGGGTAACCCATCCATAACTGCTTTCAACTGATATCTATATGTTGCCTACACTCTCGACAACGCCTCAAAAGCAACTCCGTCTTGGAAGGCACGTAGTGGAGCGTTGAAGGGAGAAACGAATTCTTGGTATCCTGGAGGGATACATTCCATGCGATATGGTTATACACAGCCGTACCTCTAGGCAATCTGTATAATCACATTATTTTGCGAGGATCGTCCTCGGCATCTGCTGTTTTTCGCTGAATGTGCGACTTAGATAAAAAGCTCATGTATGGTAAGGCAGTTTGACAAACGATACTTATAATCGCCCTTTCTCTCACAAGCCCCCACTCCCACCTCTCCCTGTCGTCCTTGGCCTTGTCGAACTGGTCCGAACACCGTAATGTCTCGTCTGGTTCTTTCATTTAGCACATGCCACACTTGCTAACGGTGCAATTCGGGGTTACGCCCGATCCCCCCAGCAGTCGTAATGGTACGGCAGGCAAGGAAACGCGGAGCAGCATCTACTTCAGCTCCCTCCTATTTTATATATCTTTGGCTGTAGCTAGTTATGGCTGAAGCTATCTTCATTGCAATCTCTTCTTATTTTTCCAAGAGATGTCGGATGTCTTGAAACTTCTATTTTCATGTCTGTGTGTTGGACTGAGGTGACTGCAAGGCCGACGCTATCGAACGCACGGTGTGGGATTCATGTAAAAATATCGAGCGTAGTCTGACCTGTACGCATTTGACAGTAGGCACTTCTAATTTGCCTGGTCCTTAGACCGCATCTACCTAGGGAACTCAAACCCTCATACATAAATGGCTATCATAGACAGTGCCGTCTATTCCCTTGAATTTGATTTATGCACTGAAGCTTCTGGTTTTTTTTTGTTCCTTTTTCACGAAATATTTTTTGAATGTTCTCTTGCTGACTTAGTAACCTCATCGTGCGTTGTGGTGCTAGATGTACAGCTACAAATATAGTTCTATACGCTTGTTATCCATTTACAGATGTATCGACTGTTTCTCCTACCAGCCCTGGTCATCGCCTTTGATGACGCACCGACTATGGATCCGAGAATCCCCACTATGAGGTAGGTGCCTATGTCCGAGGTCTCTAGAAGTAGCAAAAAGATTGCCATAGATTGGAATAACGGCAACTTTTGACTTTAGCTTCTGAAGGCTTTCACAAGGCTTTTATCGGTGACAACCAGTGAAGGGTACTTTCAGCTTTTACTTCATTACTTTGCTTCAAAGAGCACAACAATTCACCGAAACCACCTCAGCTTTGGCATATCGCTGAGCGCTGAAAATTTGACCGACTCATGGTAACACCATTCGTCTTGTTGGCTAATTTTGTTCGCGTGTTGTTCGTGTGAATCAGTCGAAGAAACGAAAAGCTGAAGTGAAACAAGAGACGATAATCACGCGTTGTTGCTGTCACCGTCGTTAGCTGAACCGGAAAGATTCGGCCTATTAAACTAGTTCTTCGATCCCGGAGCGGCTGAATGGCAACGTTCATTACAGCCACCCCACAACAATGTCAGAAACATATCCGACCCATGATTTTAGGGAAATTCACTTATTCTTTTTCATTCACAGCAGTCCCTGTTCACCAATTCGCCATCGCTACAGCAAATGCGAATGCTCTCCTCACTTACAGGCCGCTGAGAGATCGCTATAGTCGAATTTTGACTTTACAGCCAAACCTATAGGTCCATACTGGAAAAGCTGGAGAAAAGAGTTAATGAAAATCACTGGTCATAGGTGATGCGTAGGTATATCACGAGCTTTGAGAAAAACTCCAAGATGGTTACCAGTAGGCGTTGGAAAGAGTCTCAGCAGGTATTCGAACTGTCACTTTTAACAGGTTGAAGAGGAAGATGACGAATATGGGGTGGGGGTTCGATGGGTGGGGCCATCGACAGGGCATTTTATCGTTTTCAGTTTCATGATATGAATATTCACGTTCTTCTAGCTACTACTGCAATTTTAGGCCCCATGATGCCCAATCTGATTCCTGTGCTGGTCAGTGCGCTTTCACTTTCGTAGAACAAATTCGGGGCCAACTGGGAAATGCAAAAACGGCATCACTCTTGCAGGTATGTCACATGACTCTTCCAATAGTGATTGCATAATTTAAACTGAAAGGATATGAGGGGTAAGACTTTGGCTTGATGAATCCCATTCTTGGGATGCGCCCTCGCATTCGATGTCAGTTCACACACAACCTGATTGCGGAGGTGACCCACACGATTTTTTAGTCCTCTCAGACGGTGCCTAATCGACCTCAAAAGGAAGGAAGGCTCGGTTGATTGGACGAATATTGAAAAACAAATTCGAAAAAAATTCAACAAAACCCCACGCAACTTTCTAAAATTTTTCTGAATTTTGATTGTGAACCCGCCTAATATTGAACCCAAGATTTCAGACTTGAATATTTTTTAATTAGCCGTTAAGATTATATAATAACTAGCAATTTCCAGTTAAACTACAATGATTTCCTCACGGCATTCTCAAACACAACGTTTTTCGAGAAGTTCTGCAAGTGAGTCATTAAAGCTTTCTCAGATAAACGAGTACGTGCTCGGGAGCCGAATGTACTCTCGCAGGCTTTGATTTACTACAAATAGTTCTTTTTCCGTTTCGCGAGAGATCTTTTCGTATCGCTTCATCCAGGATGCTGTTATAACCTATTGGAAAACACTTTTTTGCATTTCACGAATTCAAACAGAGGATGTATAATAGGTCAACCAATACAACTCTATCTTTCCAGCATCTATCATAACTTTCAACATTGCTCGTCCAAATGCGAACCAGGCTATCTGCATCAACTTCTTATGAAGAGTGCTGAGATCATCGATCATTACTGTGTTTACAACTTTGAAGGTGAATTCAAGTTCCTTACTTTATCCTTCGAAGGTTCGTTGAGGTAGCGAATATGAAGGCAGTACGGTAATTTGGAGTGGGTATAGTGAATTGAGGGCTACCTATACCTTTCTTAATGGAGCTTCAACTATTTATTCATTTCTGCACATTTATTGCGTGGTCTTCCACCTTTTATTCAAGATTTTCACTCCAAATTGTCGTTCTCAAATGTCAAAATCAGACGTCGCAGGCGTTTTCCTTTTGAACCTAAAAGTTTATCCTCCGCCCACCCCTTTCACTGATCTCTCGATCTCAAAGCTCATTAGCTGACGTTATCATAGTGTTGACATTAACTGCTGCTCACATGCGCTTTTTTGAAATGCAGTCTATTAGATGAAATCATGTAAACCTTCACCCTCACCCCTTGAACTGCAGTGGTTATAGTTAATGATTATTCCCCTTTTGGGTCCTTAAACGTACTAGAAGCTTCATATCCAAATAGCAGGCTGGAGGCTCCAGACCTGTACGAACTGCCGTGATGAGAATGGTGGTAATAGACAGGACAGTCTTGTCATTCCGTTTTAGCAGACTTGAATACGGCAAGGAGCTTTCGATCTGTTTATAACTCAGCTGATCAACAGTCGGTATTAAAAGACTTGCAATAATGCCTAGAATATCGACCACCAAATTATATACGTACCTGCAACACCTAAGACATCGATACGTTTATAGAAATCATTCTCTTGCGGTTCCACCACAGTCTCTACTTGATTGAAAACTGTTTCGATTATTCACCTCACTGACTCAACGAACAACGAGGCACCAACGCAATGTGGGAAACAACCGAAATGAGATCATGATCATTATAATCAATTTGCTGCCGTTCTCTTTATGAAACCAGCAGGAGTCGCATACCCTACGCATGCTGTCAACGATATCTCATTTGTCCCTTGTTGTTCATTCGATTAAGTGATGACGTCGAAGGTGGTGGAACGGCATAAGATTAGTTGCTTGGGTGGGATTGTCTGTGTCTGAATTTATGGGAGTGGCATGGGATTCAGTGCGTTAGAATGTTTGAATGAGAAAGCTACGAACGGGGAGTTTGATCCTTCTACCGAGCCGTGATGGCGGCAGTTTGCTCAGTAGGTTTACCTCGTGAAGCGCCATGCTAGAGCATCATGTCGGGGTTTACGAGCCAACTTGTACACAACTCTCTAATCCATGACTAGAAGAAACTACTCACATTCACTCCTGCCCCCCTCCCTTTACCCATACATGGAAGAGTAGGTTAAAACTGTATGTCATACCGACTTCCTCTTCTTCTCATAATGTCAAAGCGCTTAGATTCAGGCCCGCTATTCTTGTAAACCCTATTCATTTCGTTCCTTCTTTTGTAGTCACCTTAGCTTCGATGATGACCTTCTTGATCACGTACCACCCATTTTTTGAGGTAAGCACCTTGGAGCAACTCTGGTGGAAGGGGATACCACCGGACTCACTTTAATTTATCCAAACTGTGTTCATTCAGACCTTCAGAGCGCCTCGTCCACAACTCTCAGCAGCCACGTCACTCATCAGGTATTGGAGTCTTTCGATGGCTTACTCGAGAGCAGCTACTATTGACTTCGGTCTCTACTGAGAGCTAAGGAACTTGATACTCTTCGTGTTCAACCGAGGCTTATTCTCCACCAGCAGTTTCTGCCATTTCTGCAGCTTGTTCTGGTGTTCTTCTACACTTTCCTCTACATCGATGTCATCAGAGTAGGGACCAGTCTTTCATTGGTTCAGCCAATGAGTCTTTTTGTGATGACAACCAGTGTTAGCAGGAAGGGAAACGGGCAAAGGGCTGAACGGCCGACATTTATGGCTCTTGTTAGGCCGTGGGAGTGCGTATGGCTGTATTGGCTCCATCGTTCACGTCCTTGAAAAGGAAGATCATGTGTTATGAAACATTTCGTCTTGGGAGTGCTCTCGAGAGACTGGATGCAAGCGGTCGAACGCCTTTTCCAGATCGAAAAAGACTACGCGGTAGGGTTCACGCTTTTCTCGATAGTTTTTTAACGATTGCTCAGCCATGAAGAAGGCATCCGTTGTATACTTTCCCCACATGAAGCCGAACTGCTTCCGAGAGACCGGTACTCGTTCCCTCAATCTCGAGCTGACAGACCGCTTGTACAGTTTTACAAGACTGAGCAGTCAACCTGATCCCCACTTAGTTAGAACACTCCATTTGCGTACCGCACTACTTGAGGATGGGAACGATGGTACTGCTCCTGTTCGCATCTGGGATACTTCCTTCCGTGGTGACATTATTCAGGATGCGTGTTAACAACCCAATTCCGTGCTCTTCGAATGTCTTCCATGCCTCGATTGGTACCTTATTTGAAGCAGTCGCTTCTCCGTCTTCATCTTTATTATTTCTGAAAAAAAAAACTTCATCCCCCTGGAACTTCATCCTCTGCCCAGAATTCGGTGGGTCCAGCTGCCGCACCTACATAGACGCTATTCTCATGGTGGATTTCTTCGTTTCGAAGTTTATTCGAGTATTCCTCCCACCTACGTTTGACTTCAGTTGTACTCCCAGAAGGGCGCCCTCACTGTTCTTTACGACCCTACTCCCCGACATCCTGAGTAGCCCGATTGCGGGCTTTGGTTGTCGAAAATCGAACCTCTCTTTCCCGACCCATCAAGCCTATCGTAAGAGGCTTTCGTTTCCTTGTCCTTAACTTTCGCTGCGACAGCCTTGGCGAATATCCCGTACCGGCTAGTGGGCTGAAATATGAGCTTGAAGGCATACGTTGACTGCGGTATGGGCTCGTTAGATTTCCCAGATCACAACTCCTCTTGTCTTTCCAAACTCCGCAAAAATCTTTCCTCAGGCAGTGCTTGTATATGACTGTGTATAATCTGCATAGTTAGGGACAGGTTCAAAACTAAGGTACCGCTCCTCTTGGCTAGCTATACGGTTGGATACGCGACAGAATGATGTCCAACAAGTTGAGAATAACAAGAGGAGATCAGATCGGGTGGGGCGAAATTGTAGAACTGACTCGTGCAGATGCTATGCTTCATATTTCTGGATCTTACAAAATCATGAGAATGTGAATTTTTCGCCTTCCTGACGAAAGGGGAAACGATGTGATCAAAAAAATCGCTAGCCTACCCAAAATCCTGTCCATTATGCCTAAATGTGATGAAGGGACGAATACCGAGTAAGAAACCAGCTATGATTCTACCGGATAAATGGTGAGGCTTGAACTCAACTTACGGACCAGCCGATCGTTGGTGCATTGTAGGACTCCGACGATCCCGAGCTATACCCTAAGCCAACAAGGCTTCTGAAAAGAGCTAAGGGAATCTATAAGCGATTCGAATGCATCAGTGTGAATTCAGTAACTAATGTAGACGAGTATAGAGTTCAAGTAAGGTAAAATACCACAAGAGGCACTCTAAACTGAAGCAGAATATGAACCTTCGATTGGATCGAGTTTTGAATTGAGTAGAAGGCGACCCAACTCTTTCCTATCTCGCCTAACCTCATCTAAACTAAAAGGGGGCTAAGTTAGGACTATGCCTCCAACGGCCTATGACTAGGAAAAGCAACAACTGTTAGGGCGACTACACCATTCACAGCAAATAGTTGTAGAAAACATTGTATTTGGAAATTCCCGCACAGTTTACAGGAAAAATCTTACCTTACTGATAGAGTGCAAGTTCAGTGGGATTGTATGATCGCGAAAAACCGTAAAGGCTCCTCGTGGTCACATCTCCAGCAACGAAGTCCCTATATTAGTTGTTTATTGTCGTAGTTCAATCATAATCATTTTGCAGCCATCCGCACGAAATTTCCCTGCCTGGAGTTCGTCCAATCGAACACGGACTGCATAAAATCATGTACTCGTCATCATGATGCCGTCACGTCGCTCGTCAATAACTTCCGTCATCTGGCCATGAACGGCGATTCAACTCGGGCAGAACAGTACCTGGCAGAAAGCTGCGAGTGAGTATAGTCTTTTTGTAGTTTTTACAAACCGGTTCCCTGTACTAAGCTACTAAATTCGAAGAGGAAAGATGGCAGTAGTTCCATTCAGTTCAGATAAAATCACAGTCAATCCTGCCCCCTCCCCCACCCCCTACCAGAAGAAATTATAGAGCGTTGTGCCTCTTGTAAAGACCATAAAAATGAGTATGACCGCGACCTCATGTTGTGGTGATTCCAGGACAGGTAGATCCTACCCTTCCTTTTTAGTTAGGGGTTCACAACCTCTGCCTGTAAGCTTTTATTTTGCCTCAACCACGAATTACTATTTAAATATCGGCATCCCGTTACTGACACAGGGTGTTATAGTGGCAAGTGGTGCATTATCACACAAGCAGGGTCATGGGTGCGAATCCCGAATATACGCCTGGGCCAACCAAGCCTTCCATCCCTTCAGGGTTGGTTAATTGGTATAAGACCCGTCTACGTTCGATACGTCATTACGATTCTGAATGGGAGTCGAATTGATTGGCACCCTCGGGCGGGATTGATTAACACTCAAAGACTTGACTTTAGACTTCTGTCCCATTTACTAGGCAGTCCAAATCCGCAGTAGGCCTGCTTTTCTTCTGAACTAAAAAGTGTGTCTGTGGAAGTCAGGCTTAGCAGTGGGTATCCTAATTGTAAAGAAATCCATAGCAGAACAACCAAAAAGTGGTACTAGCAGGTAGCAAGTGAGGCGCCCTACTACTAGCAGTTGAACACCAGCAGAAAGGGCCTTCATTCAGCCCCTTCCGCTGGAGTTTCACCACTTTTCATTATTGATAACATCTTTTAAGAATAGATAACGGTTTCATGAAGTAAAAACAGCCCCGACGTTGCCAGTGCTCATTCCCTTCTCGTCTTGATAAACCGCTAATCCCACACCCGTTAGCTTCCTTAGTTGATTCACCTTCCATGAAAAAAAAAATCAGAGAAACAATACAGCGGGGAAAAGGCCTTTGTAGGCCTGCAGTCGCGGTTGAAGGGTTGCTGGCCTCTGCTGGTTAGTAGGCCCTCTCTGCTCGTTTTTATAATAATTCCTTGAACAGTTTTTGACTGGCTGCAAAATTTCTTATCCAAATTTACAAACGAATAACTCAGGTATGTGACGTGTACGCTGCACTGTGATGTGCCAGCCATCGCCCACCGCTGTGACTTTGAAACGGCTAACCTCGTCATTGATCTGACTCGACGATCCTTCGCCAGTATGGAGAAGCTGGCTTTGGACGCAAATGTTATCAGCAAGTCAGTGAGGGCCTTTCTCTTGCTTTCAAACGTTTCTAAATACGAAAGCAACAGATCAAGCAATGTTTTACAGATGGCCAGCTGTTTGCTCGGACATTAAGACCTATCGACTGCCATCACCAGCAAACCCTCCAAAAGAAATCGATGTCGTAGCACAGAGTCAAGGACTTCCCGAGGGTCGGCACTCATTAAAAGCTTTCATTGCTATCTCCTTTTGCCACTCCTTGTACACACTCCTTTTCCAGGTGCTAAAAATGTAACATCGCCAACAACGGCAGCGATGTCTAAGGGAACAAGTTATTCTGCTATTCCTGCCCTTTTACTGCTCCTGTTGACTCTTGCTTTACAGTAACTCATAGAAGCTCTTGAGAGATGACTGGAACTATCTGTACTTTCAAGTCTGTTTATATGATTTTTTTATTTAACGGGTACATTTCCATTTGTAATAAAACATCTAAAATCCGCTGTGCAACAAACCAAAAACAACATGAAGACAGCATAACAACTTCAAAAACCATGGCAGTGATCAAAAATCGCCGCCAAAGCTTTCTACAAAATCATCACCTATACGAGACACAAACATCGAAAGAAAAACTGAGAAAAAGAGGCTGTTTCGAATCTAGACATTGAGCCTACAAAAGCGCACACCGTCGTGGAGGGGCTTGTCTCGAGTTGGGCCTCGCAAAACTATTGGGCTGTAACATAAGTTCGTAGAGTTTTTAACAAAGATTTATTTGTAAAAAGTAATAATTATAATAATGAATTATTTAATAAATTAATATAATAATCAGCCAATTCACGAGCATTTGGCGACCATCTTCCTTCAATAGTGCCTCAGATGCTCTTCGTCGAATTCTGCAGCTNNNGCGTTCCTTCAAGGTCAAAGTCGCCATTTCCAAACTTTGCAAACCATTTTTATGCAGTAGACACCTTCCCCGTACACACTGCATTGTCCGGAGCGGCTTCGGCTACTTTTTGACCTCGATAAAAAGCAAGAAAAGCAGGTGTCGAAAATGCTGATTTTTCCCTTCTGGATATTCCATTCCTGAGCCAGAAAAAAGACGAACAATTAAATTAACCAAAAAAAAAAAAAACAAATGAACCGTTTTGCAGGGGAGAAAGAGCTCTTTCGAATGAATGTACACACTTTGCTGAAAGACGGAACAAATCTTCGTAAAATAACTCTAACGCAAAACTCTACGAACTTATGTTACAACCCAATATAGCTCATGATCATTTTAGTGTTCTGACACCCATGTTATTTGGTTGCAAATCACTAGAACGCCCTCAAAATCTTCTACTAAGCATGGTGACCCTTCGTTTCTCTCCTTCACTTTCTCTTACTTGCTCTACCATAAAGCGACAGGTATTTAGGATTATTTGTTTTCCTGTTCCAGAAAGATGCATGTTTCTCCTTTCACAGGAAGAAAGAACATGCATGATGCGCTGAGACTCTTTTAGAAGTCATGACGACTTGTGATTCTGGAACACTCTTCTTCTTTACTTAGCTTCTACTGTGCTCAAGGTACCTAGGCTTGTTTCAATCATTCCTGTCTATCTGTTTCTCACCTTGTCTTTGCGGCTCCTGAACCGAGCGGAATTCAACATAATGAAGAAGAGTGCAATCGTGAATCAGAAAAATTCAAAATTTCTATAAGAAAAAGGCAAATAATGGGCCAACCCATATACTGAATTTATTAAGTTGTCATAAAGTAATTGCCAATTTTATCCAGCAACATATTCCCTAAGTTTCCAGTGGTGCTCGACCGATCCTAAAAGCTAATAACATATCAATTTGGGCACCCGTTCTATGGCTTCAGGGTGAAAGAATCCGGTCTGATTCTAATGGCGCTTGCTTTGATTACCAGAAGTTTTGAATTCATCGGTGCCAAACCACAATTAAGTCTACGACAACCAAATGATGACGGAGAAATCGGGGTCTTTTAAAAAACAGAAACGAGCTACTCCGGGGAATAAATCAACCTGGTCAACCAATTGAATACTGCACTCAGACAACGAATCATAAAATTTCAACTAGAAAGGCACGAAGAAACACTTCCAGTACGGGCCGTTTGGAGGATATAATGCACAAAAGATAGAATAAACCTATATTTCACTCCAAATCAAGTGCTTTAGCTTTGAGAACTGCTGGTGCCGAACTCGGTGGTAATACTCGGATATCTGTCACAATGGCTGTAATGAGATCGGATGGTACGAGCTCCATTGCTTCCCGTTTTAACAATGCCACTCGACCTCCCCCTTGCACCTACAGAAAAACATTCTTTAAAGACAGTACCGGTATTTGAACTTCCATCTACTTACCTTATCCACGAATTTGAATGTCTGAGAAGCTACTAGCACCGGAACATTGAAGGCTTTCGCAGTAAGTGCTACAAGCATACTGCCTTTTGGAGCAACAATACATCCATTCGATAGTACTGCAACACAACCGAGGAGAAGCATGGAGCCCTGGAAAAGGAGAACGAATAGTGACTCCAATCATCTCGCACAGGTTCGGCGAGCAGTAAGATCACGACTTTGCCAATTGTGATCATTCTTTTAACTCTTCTATATAAGTAAACGAAGGATTTTTTTGTCATCTCTGCTCCATCGGGCGGAGGTAGTGTAGTGGCGAATGGCTCACTATCTTATACGCATTATCACGGGTTCAAACCCCGGATCGAGATCCACCTAAGACAACCAGGCCTTCCATCCCTCTGGGGTCGGTAAATTGGTACCAGACTCGTGTGGGAGGACAGAAGCACTGACTTGTACATCGGCTGGCCACCGCAGTCATTGTATAGAACACATACGCACTCATGCGCCACTAAGATTCTGTATGAAAGTCAAGTGCGGGTGCGCATCCCTTCGGATGGGATTGTTTAACGCTGAAAATTTTATCCTCTATCTTCATGGTAGAGAGAATCAAACATTCTGCAAACCAAAAACTTACGCTCTTCATCACTGCACCCACAGAATTCAGGTCTGTGTATCGACAATGAATCTTACGTTCGACGAATAATTGTATATGTCGCATTCCTGAAATCTTGTACACATCCCTAGTGAACCGAAGCTGCCTTATTATAAGAGGAATGGCATAAGGCACTGAGATGGAAAATTAAAAAGGAAGGAAAACTTAGCTTCTCACCTTTACCTTCCATTTCCGGGTCAATTACAGTAAACAATGCATTGGAGTCTTTTTCGACGGCATCGAGGAGTACCTTGTTAACCAGAGGACACCTTGAATAAAACGATAGTGAAGGATCGTGAAATAATTGGTATGATTGCTGAAAATAGAGTACCAGTCATAGGTGATGACATTTGGAGCAGTCCTCATCTTTACTAAAAGATATTCCGAAATGGCTCGGTATGCGCTACCAAAGTATTCCTCTTCGCAATCCTCTAACCACTTCTTCACATCTCCCACATCCTAAACAGCTACGAATCATTTGCAATATTAGTTTGTTATTGATTTTATATAACGTTTGTCTAAGCAGCATAATGAACATAAATATAAACATAACAGAAAAAAGACTAAAAGTGAATTTCCGAATCTTTAACAAGACTTATCGCTGGATACAGTAGTGGTACATGATGGATGAATATTACCTGCAAGCGTCCATTCCTGTCAGGCGTCCCTATTTTCATAATTTCCTTCTTCAATTGCCGCACTATATTTCCAAGAGCGTATGGAAGTGGCCACCGGCCTAAGACACCCAATAAACATTTAGAAAGAAATAGATTTAAATTCCAATAATAACTAGTGAACCATACTTTCGTGGGTAAGGTGAGCTATCTGAGGCCGAAGAGCAAGGTTAAGGTCGTGACTCAGCGAAGACTCATCGCGGTTTTCCTTTTGGCGCTGCGCGATCCAATCAGCGAGGTACTGGAACGATGATTACTTCATGGTAAAAGCACGATGACAGTAAATCATGGCTTACTTCCTTGAAAGCGGCAATGAAATTGAGACAAAGCGAGTCCACGTCATCTATCACATCAAGCTCGCAACGCACTGCCAAATTCAAGAAAGCTGGATGAATATGTGCAGTGGACGGCGGTTCAGGACATTCAGAGCACGGACCAATAGGAACTGTAAGGAGTGCGGAACCCAATAAAATGGCAGTAAGAACCACTCAGCCAGCTTTCAACCTTCCAGATCTATAGAAACTCACCGTCGCTGCTCACACTCTCATCTGAAGGTGACGCTACAGTGTTAGCTGACAGATCTAAAAATGCAGGCGCCTGTTCACTTGAATCTGTACAAGAGCAGTGAAGACCTACCAAATTGTACTTCCCGTAATGGATGTTGTTTGCCGCTTTCTCGCAAGGCAGATTTCGTAGTAGGTGGAGGCTGAAAATTCTGAACTCAGACGCAAGATGGTTTGAAGGGAATGAACGTCACCTACGCACCTGAACTTGATTATTTCCCCCATTGACTTGGGCTTTGTTTCCGGGAACGGTGACCTTTTCTTGCTTTTGCTTTGACTTCTTCGATGGCTCAGATTTATTCTGCGCTTTTTCTTGCTCTTGCAGAGCTGCTTTTTTAGCCGCTGCTGCTTCAGCTGTAATTTCATGATCAACCATAGGAACAGCTAAGAGAAAGCAAAAATATAAACATGAAATTAAGCAAGAGCTCACCTCTCGCCTTCTTCTCGGCTGCTTTATTGGCTCGCTGAGCTCTAACCTCTTCGGCACTCTTTTGCTAAAAAAGTAACTTTCGCGGAGAGGAGGCTCAAATTAAAAAAACGCTTACTTGATCTGCTTCGGGATGAGGCGGCTTTTTAGCGATTTGTGTTTCTTTCCGCTTCGAAGCATTAGAAACCTCGGATTTTGAGTCAATCTGGTCTGATTTTCTGACGCTTACGGACTCCGCTAATGGTTTTGCAAATGCTTTCTCCTTGACGGTAGGAGTTTCGAGCTTCGCTCCGAGAACGTCGCCCATTTTCTGTATGCCTTCCGCCAATTTGGATATGGAGAGCTGCAAAACTGCTGGGATAAATAGAAGTGAATAAAACGGTAACAATCAAGAAAACTCCAAGTTCACTGGAAACTTTAGGTGATTCAAATACTGAATTATAAAGCAACACCGACGCTCAATTACCATTCGAATATTGGAATCACTGAAAATAGAGGATCACGCAACTGCCCCTCGAAGCAGTAGCGAAATTATACAAAGAAAACTGTTCAAACTTTCAGACAATTCACAGTTAGTAAGCTAGGATCATGTAATTCCCATCAATACATTAATATGTATTATGCTGTAGGAAGAGGTGCTAAGCAGGGCTTGAAAGTAGCTTTAGATCTCAACGTTAACGATCGTAAATGAAGATGCAAGTAACGAGCAATTGTGAAGGCGATAGTATCGACGTCTGAGTCGGCGATTTCTATCCCTCGCTGCTCTCACAGCCTGAGACGACGTTCTAAGCTAGAGACGCCGATTACTGATATGGGGGGGGGGGGNGGTCAAGCGAGACCACAAGAAGAGTGCTCCTCTCCTTTATCTCTAACTACAAAGACAAGACGTAGGTTGTGTGCCATTTTAGAAAAAATAAATACTTGTTTATTACTATTCTGTATTTTCATAGCGTTAGGCTCCACAATTACATTTTGCTTGTTGAATTTTGCTCCGTTATCACCGGATTTATATAAAACCACTTAACCACCCTCACAGTGATTTGGCCAGAAACGTAATTTGCCTAGTAATAGCCTTACAGAAACAAATCAAAGAGCAGAAACTGATTGGTGAGCAGAGCTCTGTGCAATTAAAACAACTATACTGCTCTCATGCGGATAAATTTTTAGAAGCTCACCTTCAGTTGACTCACAGGGTCTTCTGCCACGGCAGTTGATGTCCCTTCTTTATCCTTATCAGGTTTAGACGTCATAAAGACGACCTAAAAAGTCAGTTGATTCGAAAAAACACGAAAATCCCATTCACCCAAAGGTTTTTGGGACCTACGAAAAATGAACTAATTGAAATCGATTGAAAAGCAAATACGCAACGAGAACATTATGTTGGAAATGATGCAATGTTCCAATGACATTGAAACATTGCATATTCTATTTTGTCCGTTACGGCCCGCAACAACAAACAGCCCCAAAAACGAGGCAATATTAAATCTCTATAAGCAGATGAATTCAATAAAACACTCCAAATTCAAAAAATGGCCTAGAGTTCGGAGCTTACAACAATGGAGCGATTTTTGGATTACTGTTTTTGGGTCTTGTGTACAACGTACAATTGCGGACGAACTTGCGTCGGTTTTTGACGCTTGGGTGTTGTCATCATCGGTGAACATGCTTACTTCGATCTCCCTATTCTATCTGTTTTTTATTTGTTTAATCTTATCAATTTGTCGAATTTTGGCTGGAGTAGCTTCATCGGGAAGGGTCAAGCGTTTTTTAGGAAAGGATTGGGCCAATTAGGTGTATTAGTGTGAATGAGTATTAAATGTACTGGAAAGGCTGAAAGTTGCTCACAGCTGTCTCTGTCAGTGCTGTTTCTGCTGTTTTTTCTATTCTTTCAGAGACCTCATGTTCCTGAAACGTCTGCCATTGTTCACGTTTGTCGTGCAAGTCGTTTCATTTTACTAGTACACTGTTTTTCAGGCGATGCTGCCGAAATCCATTCCTATCGCTTCGGATCGACCACGAACTACCTGACAAAAGCCAATCCGATAGGATGCTGTTATCCCCAGAAGAGGAATGCCTTCAGCTCCAAAGAGCACCCGTTAGCACGAGAAACTGCGAATCAAAAGGTCATCTGCCTTTCAAAGCAGCCTTGCCCATCGGTGTGATAGGTCCAAGCATTCTTACTAAATTTAACATTTCATTTTAGATTGGAAACCGTCGGCTTGAAGAGAAGGGCAGATAGAACTGATCTGGTGTAACTGGCCTACTATGTACGGACAATTCTTACTTCTGGCTAGTCGACGGCGCCGACTGTCCGACATCGGTCATACTTGTTCTGTTAATTACAGCACAATTCTTATGTTAGATTTATGTACTGTAATCAAGTATAGTGTAATTGCGTATTGATCGATGAAACTGTTAGTGAAGCAGTAGTGAGGTCATGGCCAAAAAAGGCACTAGCAGTGTTGTATGAGTCAAAAAACCGCCTTAGGACCATGGAATTTCTTTGTGCGCTCTACCCTTATTGCTTGTAATCTCACATCAGATTCTTTCTTTCAACCCGATCCCAATGTTTATGTTTATTACGTTTACCTTATGTGTTGTAGTATTTTTTGTTCTAAGAAGATGTCACGAATTATAAAGCCGTATAAAGTTCATGTGGTCCAACTCAATGCAAAGGAATTGTTATGACAAAATGTCCGATCAGGCTGAAATGGCTACCTTTCACATGTCGGAATCGACGCCAATGTATAAGTGCCTATATGATAAACTGAGAACATGAGATTTTTTGCCGGAGATCTGAGGAATGAGAAGCAAAGGGTAAAATTAGTTGGGCAAAATGTTGGCGTTGGTGACGGCATATGGATGGTAAAACACAGGGGTGGATTTGGATATTAAACAAAGGATCCATATACTTCTACAAGATGACGCTATGATATCTTCAAAATTCAGGGTCTGTAACAGGTGTCTTCAAGGATGACATCATCTGAGTATTCGTCTTCTGACGAAGACACAAAACCGAACGTACGTTTTCATGTGTCTTACATATGATGTTAGTAATTATACAAAAGTCGATCGACTTGTGCTTTTTTCAATATGCCAATATTTAGGCACATTTCCATAAATTAAATGATGACTTAATGTATGCTTTCTGTCTCAGGTGTCGGACGATTCAGATGCTTCATCTAAAAAGCACAAAAAGCGTCCCACACGCAATACAAGCAGCAAAGCGATTATCGAAAGCGCTGGTAAGTTATTGATGTGAAGGGAACAGGGGTTTTGGTTAGAGAATTTTTTAGAGGCCTTGATTATGCTTGTACCCAATGATAGAAATAATTCCAACCAAGCATCTCAGTCCTGGAACGAAATTAAATGGTTTAAGCGGTTGAATGGGTAACTTGGCTAATTATTAGAAGTGTGGGGAACCTGAGTAGTAGAAAACTAGTAGAACGAGTTATTCCCACCCATCACTTCCGTGGGTTTGTATGCGGTGTCCGACTACTCCAAACTTCTCTGATTCTGAGAACTTTGTATATTTGTCCATGTTGTTTTGCAATTATGACCTTTTCCTCAACTCCCTACGTAAACTAACAGCGCGGCTTTGGCCAAGGTTGGTCATTTCAAAGATTCTATATCTTCTAATTGCGTCAAAAGATATTTGCGTTGGACACGAAGAGCGATTTTGGGTGACGCACGGTTATTACGTATAAATATGTTGAAAGATAAGATCACAGTGGTAATCCTTTTTTGCTGTCAACTAAATCTCATGTGTAGGCTTTAGTATAACCTCATTTATTCAGGTTCCTCTGATTCGGATGATTCTGACTCCGATCGCGAATCAGACAGCGATGGTGGACGTGCTGCTGCTAGCCGGAAGAGAAAGGGTTCCGTTTCAATGAACAAAAAAGGCGGAGGGTCTAGTAGTGCCAAAAGAAAAAGGACTATGAGTGAAGAAAGTGATCGTGTAAGTGAATTTACCTCCCGATTTGTCGGGTGAACCACTGCCACCCTAGTGATACTCGTGAAAAGCTCCTTTCCTAGGTCATAAGAATTCTGGTAAAACATTTCAATCAATTTATCAGGTACCCTATGTGAAAGTAGCCATTGCTTTTGATTTGATAAGATCTAAATTGGAGGCTCGTTCCTATATATCACCTTCAAACACCGGCGGGAATCGCAATTTATAATTCTCAGGGTGTTTTGTGAAAATAATAAATACGACCTAGCTTCTCTTGCGTCAACTCGAAGTGGTGAAGGGAGGGTTGGTACCAAAGGCTCCTCTTTGTCGGGATAGAACTAATTGCCTGATTTATTCTCTAATAATCTGCAGCATGTGATGCTTATCAATGCTCCAGATAAAATCTATCAGTTGTAGACATGGAGCAGTCTAGAAGGAAGGGTGTTGTGCGTTGTTATGTTTTTCATCCTCGCTCCTTCCATTTTTTGTTAAACATCGAAATTCATTTCCTTCATGCCAGATGGTTTCATCTTCCTGGTTGGGACGTCTGACTGCGACGGCAAAATGAGGGTGAAAGGAGGATTTTCCAAAAATTGTACATTTGCTAGAGTCCCTCTCAAGCCAAATGGGTGAATTTTATGGCAACTGAAAGGAATCTCCTATTTGGGATGGGTGTGCTTGTGAATTGATTATGATCTTGAAAGTAATCGAACCTTTTTTATATCACGATTCCTCTGATTCCTGGTATTCCTGTTTTCCTAATATGCAATTTGAGTACATTAAGGGGGAAATGGACGATGACCTATTTGCGGATGAGGAGGACAGGCGACAAGTAATGTCAATGAATGAGAAAGATAGGGAACAGGAAATTTTCAATCGTATGGAGCAGCAAGAGATGAGACGGACTAGGTACGTTCTGCATTCTCTATGACCTATGTGGCCTATTGTAATACTTCAATGTGTGCCTACATCGGGCCTCGTCGTGGTATTAAAATACAACGTTAGCGGGGCATAAGTTTTGCTTCATGACCGGAGTATGAGGTACTTGCCAGCGTTGAAACCTTCACACATAGGTTACTTTTGCCGAGTATTTTCACAAAGACTAGGATAAATAACAAGTACTCGATTAGAATGATGTTTTCCAGGAAGCAGATCGAAGAAAAATTAGCTGCGGCAAAAAACGCTTCATCTGGTGGAGGTGATAAGAAGGAAAAGAAAGAAAAGCGGAAGCGTGAAGACAAGAAGCGAATCAATGATGCTGATAGTGACGACGGTTTGTTTCTTTACTCGAAATCTCAGAACCCACAATTCAGAGAAAGTTTCTTCCTTCCTTTTCTTCTTCTAAAACCTGCAAGTTGTCGTTTTTCGTTTGTCCTTTGTGAAACCCTTAATTACAGGGAAATCCCAGCCATCACGGTCCAAAGACCAATCTGGATCGAAATCAAAAGGAGCTGCTCAATCAGAGTCAGAATCTGAAGCAGATATGAAGTTTCATCGTCCGTCTGAAATTCACAAGAAAGCTACTCAAAAAAATGCTATGGCAGATTTGCTTGCAAAACGAAAAGATAAGGAGAATAAGGCCGGTAAGAGTTTCCTTGCCATCTATAATGTTTTTGTCGCTAATTATTAGTTGTCTTAAGCCAAGAAAGCTGCCTTATCCATTGATGCTGTGTTTGGAAAAGACGACAGCGATGGTTCATCGTCATCTTCATCATCCTCATCGTCTACGGCGTCATCACGCTCGTCTTCTCGTGAATCATCGCCCAGAAGAGACGCTGAAAGTGAAGACGAGGAAGAGAAGAAGGCTGCTAGAAGAGAGGTGAACGTCATGTACAATTACGCAATCCTTAAACACCTTCAATCCATTTTTTCCAGGTTGAGACCGTAGCGGAGTTGTCAAGAGCTCGTATCTCACGATACAAGATAGCAAAAATTGTGTACGCTCCTTTCTTCGCGAAAACTGTGATAGGATGTTTTGTTCGAATCGGACTGGGTTCCTACGGAGGAAAGTCGAAGTATAGGGTGAGTCTTCCTTGCAGCTGCCGTGTTTGCTTTTATATTCGAAAACACTCATAGAGCAAGGTGACATAAAAGTTCGCAAATATGAATCGGTTTCTTAACCAAAGGAATGGTTTGAGGGCGTCATTTCGTCCTTTGCTCGAGGTGTTAGTGTTAAAGGTACTCACTGCAGTTTTCCCATGACCGATCCTGAGAACTACAACGATGATGTTACAGCTCAGGCAGTTTACCCGCATTGGTGAAGTGTGTAGGTAGTATAACCGCCTTGGCGTCGATCAATCCCAGAGCTGAGCCCATGCTCACTCGAAGACATCGAGCATTTTTTCCTGTACGGAGAAGGAGAATAGTCTCATGTTTGAATGGAATTTTCACCATCTTGTGTCCTTCGAAACACATGTGATAGAATTTCAAAGTCCTCTATCAGATTAAGGAANAAGGAATCGGTCGCTTGAAATATCTTTTCGTCACGCATGCAATTTGCAGCTTTCACAAATTGTTGATGTTGTGGAAATGAACAAGGTCTACACGTTCGAAAATCTTAAGACGAACAAAGGTCTAAAGTTGAAATACGGTAAGTACGCCATGGCTTCAACGTTCTCCGTGATATCGCTCTAATCTCCTCTCTTTTCTTACACAGGCACCGACGAACGCGTTTTTCGCATTGAGTTCGTTTCAAATGCCCAGTTTGGTGAGGAGGAGTTTTCTGAGTGGAGGACAGTAACAAAGGAGGAGGTTTGATATAACTTAGAGGAAACAAGCTTTCTTCAGTTTTCAATTATTACGACCATGAATAGGGTAGGATTAGTTATCTTTCGATACTGAATCATTCTAGTGCGGATCATTGCCGACGATGGATCACATTGAGAAGAAGGAGCTTGACATTAGGAAAGCAATGAATTTCAATTATACTGATGAAGTTATTGAATATGTGAGTAACGATAGTAAGAAATCGCATGATTGTGTATCTGCCCGGAGTTTTGATCTTCTTTGATTTTGATTTGATTTAGATTGTGAAAGAGAAGAAGAAGTTCTCTGATAAGGTGAAGAACTTTGCTGTTACTAAGGGAGAACTTATGAAGAAGAAGGTACGTTCGATTATCTATTGGATTCCGGTTCTTTTTATGACGAATAGTTAGTTCTAATACTTTTTCAATCGTTATGAATTAATAGTCGACTTCGATTTTCCCTCACCATTCTTCCTGTTCTCCTGTTAAGTTGAGAAATCGATGAAAATCTACGGAGACATTGCTCAATGTGAGAAACTGGAAGCTGTAAAAACAGTCTCGTGGTCCTAGATTCTCAGATTGTGTATTTTGCTCATTATTTATTTTCTTTCTGTCCTTTTTCCATCTACGGCTCTGATCGCATTTTGAAATCGAGCCCAAGACCAGCAATTGCATGGCAATGTGATCGCCAGACTTATCTGTGGGCAAAGGAGTTACCATGGAATCACGAGCTAACCCAATCAGTGGAATCATTTCCTTTGCCAATTCTCATACTATCACATTTAGCACAAATACATAATCTGTCGAACCAGAGATAGTCGCAGAGAGACGGATTTTTTGGAAATAATTCCATATTTTTGATAATTACGATCTTTTTCGAACTACACTGACACTTTGCTGCCTAGTTTCTGACGTAGACGGCCGGTATGATATGAAAATTTATTTCCTCCCGTAGCGCGCACTGAAGGAGACGCGTTTTTCTCATATTTTTTACAGGAATACTAAGTTTTTTTTTCTGATTTTCATTGCTCTGTACTTGATCCTTTCCTGTTCTTTTCCCTGGCACAAGTATCCTGCAAGGTGTATTTGCTCATTTTTAGTTGCTACTTCAATAATTGCTTTCGTTCCTAAACACGGACGCTTTTTTTTGAACAAGCTATTCGGGAGTAGAGGAAGTTCATAAATTCCTAGCTTCCTTTCGTTCGTTATCTCTCTTCTCGATGAGTTTATGTGAACGTAGAGTGAATGATCGAATTGAAAAGTCAAATTCGATAAGCACGCATAGCGAAGCCAGGAGTTTTTTTTTCGTTAGTAAGTACATGATAGTAGATGTAAATGTGTTTTGACCGGACCGAAATTTTCGGAGCTTTCTTTTCTTCTAGCTCATCCTCCTGTTTGAATTTTTCCTTCTCTCTTCTTAACAGAATTCCTGATGACTTGATTTTCGAGAATCTTTCGAAGTATTTGGAATCTTTTCTATCAACGCCGTTGATCATGCTTTCTCATTTCAATCATTTAAACTGGTTTTGTTTACTATGAATAGATTAGCTGCGTAGATTAGAGTCGCCGGTAATTGCGGGTTCCCGTGCTGTTTGTAGTTTTGGCTAGGGTATGGAGGTCACATTGCACTGAGCACTGACCGGTTCGGTGTTTCCCATGAAACGGATCCTACACAGCGGTATTGATCAATACTAGTGTGATAAGTAGAAAAAACTTTTCGAGTTTCCCACTTACTAACTCGGTTGTGAGAGACGCATGCGTGAGAAGTGTGCAGAACAAAAAAACCCGCCGACGACCGTGACGCAGTGGCATTCCGCTTGACACCGGAATGCTTTCAAAGTCTTTCAAAGTTCTTTTTGTCGCGTTAAATTGGATATCCGAACGATTACTGCTTCGAGTATCTTGTGGAATGCTTTGAGGTGGTCTAGAAACTGGAAAAGTGGCTTCCGGAATGTTAGAGAAATGGATGGAGGAAATGATGGAACTGATAAGGTGATGTTCAACTTCCAGTGATGTCGAAAAACGGGCTGTACTACATGACTATTTCCAAAAGGCGAATCACTTGATATCAATCGGGTGTTTGACTACCATGAACTGACATCATTGGAATGTTGAGAGGGTGAAAGTGTTCACTAGTCGTTCCAGTGTGAGGTGCTTCTTCCAATACTTCGAAATAATCGATATTCTCTGATATCAAAAAATTGATGGTGAAAAATCAGTCTGTCGTACGAGAGCTAGGCGGTACCGTAATTTCGCCCTGCGCTTTTCGATTTGAAAGCTTTTTTTGGAACACGATGGGTCATTCAAGTGGCCGTTTCCTTTTCTTTTGTGATTAGCGAGCTTATCTAGGCTTATTCATTTGGGAGACAGCTTTGTGGGTTTCATGCAGATGGGAGATGCTTTTCACTCAGTGGGCTTTTATGAATTTCCGTGATAAGAAGGCGCAGTTAAGTGGGAATAGAAGAGAGTGATGAGAGAGAAAGATGTGAGGATTATCAGCGAATGTTTTATGAAGAACCAGACGAAATAATCGATCATCATACGATGTGTCGGCTTAAAAAGATCCTATGCATCTGGTGGGAAAAGAAGGGGGCCATGGATACCCTTCGATCGCGAAATCTATTAGAGCTCATCATTCACGGAGAAAAACGGACGTAAAAGTCGACGTGGGTATGTCAGCCCATCACTACTTGTGTTTTGCTGGTTACTGCATAATTTTTAGGAGCCCATGTTGTAAACTGACAAGAAATGCATGAGAATAGGTACCGTTTTTAATCAGCTAATGAAAGGACAATCATACACACAAATCACCATATAAAATAACAAAAATATCCAAATGCGTCAGCAAGCCGACCTGAAAGAGGCCTTTGATAAGTGAACGGCGGGTTAATAGGTCGTAAAAAACTCGAAGAGATTCGATTCTCTTCATTGATAGGGTCGCTATAGTTCTCTTATTATATGTTTTCAGCGAGAAGGCTGGCATCTGACTAGAGTTGGCTGGAGCACATCTGGTTCAGCCTTGAGCAGGTTGCGGTCCGGTGGTTATCACTTTGCTGCTGGGCTCATTCTCTCCTCGCCATGCTTTCAATTTTAGGAAGGTCTCAATGGCAAAGATAATTGTTAATGCCACGCAAATGATCTGAAATGTCAGGGCTCGTTTTGAGGGACTAGTGATCTTTCGAAGGTTTGCCTTACCGCGGTCATGATGGCTGCTCCTCTTCCATCGGTACCCCAGCTCGCCGACAAGTGGACCATTAACCAGATAGAGATAAAATAGAAGAGCGTGTTGATCCCGTAGAAAATCAACTCCTTGAAAAAGTTCATCAAATTTCAAAAATGTTCGCTCTGACTTTTCTCCCGAATGCGGGCTTACCAGTACAATCAGCCCTTCTCGTGTGGGCTCTTCGCGGATTGTGAGATGTGGAAAGCAGACGTAACCAGCCAGTAGTGCGGCAGTGACAACCATCGTCTCGAAGGTGATATGTTCTGTCCAAGCTGCGGTAGTAGACCGTCTATCAGCACAAATAGCCAGTACGAAGGCGACAAAGGCAAGAATCTGAAGTTTTCATTTGACCCAATCAACGACACCCAAGTTGTGGTGTGAGTTATTTTTAAGCATCATAGCGGTCTGCTTGCATTAAGATTTCCTTTGTTTTCCCGATTGTGGCAAAGCGGATGGTCGGGCGGTAAACATTGACTGCTTAGCAAATGTTACGTGATCAATGCGTCGTCTGTACTGACATTTTTCGCATGACTAGTATCGATCAGCGGAACGTCTCAAAGAAGAAAGAAAGAAGGGAAACTCACTATCTCAGCGATCTTGAGGACACCAGGAATTGTGGCCAAAAATCCGGTGTTCAATTGACCTTGTCGATTGTCGGGGATAATTTGTATCTTGCTCGCCATATGGAATTGAAGCTTTTTCTTCTCCTTTTGAATGGGACTAGAATTGCGTGATGTGAGTGTTAATAATGGGAATGAAGAAGTGGATCGAATGCTCGGCTTCGTTTGCAGGAGCTTTTATCGAAAGGAATCTATGAAACTAACCTGGCCTGTGCTGGTTTCGGAAAGTCGTCAGAGTGCTGGATTTCCTTCGCGGGTCCAAGGTCTACTGTTGTATGCGTGGCATCGTCTTCTGAACGCAGCATCTGAAACGACTTCAATCGATGTGCTTAAAAGGCTGGTAGCGTAAAGAGAAACGGCAAGCTGTGTATGATGTATCGCGAGGTTCTCAAAGGCAGTAGCATGACATAGTAATGTATGAGATTCAATCTGTTTCGTACAAGTTTGACTGTAGATGACCCACAAACCGCTACGATTTAGATGAAAATAGCTGGCGGCGACGGTGGCGAGACGGTGATGTGCAAAGTTCGTGTTGCATTGCCCCTGCCACTACCTACCTACTCGTTTCATAGGGAGTGGCTGTCAACAGGAGCGTGTGTATCAGCATTGTGTGAAAGTGTAAATAATGAAACGCACGATAGGAGATGATTTTCTTGGAGAAGAAACCATGGAAAGGTGCAAAGCGCTTGAATGCGTGCCCTAATAGTGGGGATTTGCAGGGGATAAAACTCGGCGATAACTGTTGTCAGGATAAATGGACGCATTTTTGATTGAACTACGACTATCGATTAACCCGTGGTCCTCATTGCAGAACAGTAATGGAATTTTCGATACAGGAAAATTCAATTTAGCCTATGAAAACGGCTATCAAAGGAGTTCGCAAAGGTTGAGTGATGATGAAGAATCTGGTTTGCTCGTCGGATAGTGGGGCACCAGATAAATTGGGCTGCAAATAAAAAGTGCAAGAGCTGTGAACATTGAACCGTGAGATTCTCGCGTTATTTAAGGAAGATTAGTGATGAAAGTGCACATATAAGTAGTAGTACTGTATAAAAAATGTACTGCACAGCTAAATTCTTCGAATAGCTTAGGAGAGAAAGGGAATTTTGAAAAATTCCTGATTGGAGCTGTTCAGGAAATGGTGCATGACGATTAGGATACGAGCAGAATATGAAGACGATTCGCATGAGATGAATCGGTGCCAGTGAGACGGTCAGACGGATAGATAGAATGCCCTTGAACCCGGGACGGCGTCGGCATCGCCAGCGCGAACGATCTATTGCCGCGCCATGACGCTGAGAGGCGTTTACTTTCTATCTCTCGAGTAAACGCCCTGGTGCCTAATCGTGTAGGAATCAATATTGGGGAAGTTGTACTCCTCAGTTGTACTCCAACTCGGATGAGAGGGTACGTATTCATCCGGTAAATCAGAATAGCGTCCATTCCTTGAACAAACTCGGAGGTGACCAAACACGCTCAACGATTTAATAGCTGTGCCAGCAGAATTTGGCGGTGCGTAGTACGGCGAACATATCCGGTTAGAGATTGTGTGTATGGGCCAGTGGTATGACATGACTGAAACTCATAGAGGTGGAAACACAGGTGCACATGTGAGGCGGGAACTGGTTAGAGCGAAGCGGTTTCACGTTGTGGTGGAGGAGGAGCCGACGGTTGTTTCGTCCATCTTAATTGCCGTTGAGATGGTCTATATTGCTGTAGCAAAGGGAGCTGGACAAGCTGCCAAGCAGCGGAATTCTTGAGTCTGGCTTGCCTGGAGGCTGTTCTTCTTCATGCATTTGGCCAGCTGTCATTTTGAAGAGAATAGGTCTCCCAGCTCTTTAGACGTCTAATTTTTTTCGGGAAAGAGCAATGTTGTACACTACTCGGCATGAAGTTGTATGCTGTCATGTCAAGTAGAGTTTAAAATACTCGCAGTTCTCCCCTTGAGCAATTTGTTAGTTGGGAATTCAAAGTACCGAATCCACCTGAAGCAGCAGACATAGAATGTTATTGAGATTGGTACCTCCTTATTATAATAACTTAATCTTACCAATTGCGTTTCGGTTGTTCCATCTTCTTTTTGTATAATCACAGTTTCTGCACCCCGATTTGTCATGTGGCGTAGCTGTTTAACTGCCGGAAAGACGCGACCTAAATAATGCGAAGTCATTGGCATAAAAGAAATTGTCATGGTTAAAAGGCAATAATTTTGATGATCTTTTCAAGCACGCTATTCAATCTGTATTTGATCTTTATTCCATGCATTCAATACAATTCTCAATGTACTCGGTTCAAAACGGGGTCAGTTGTTGGGGTTGACCGGAATCTGACCGTTTTTATGAATTTTATTGTACCCATTTTTTCACAAAACGCAGGGTTTCGCAGCTTCTAGTTCAGCTCTCTCTCTCAGTTGTCTAAATATACGGTTGAGAGAAGATTTCGATGTGTTTGCAGAAACGCGACTTCTTCCAAAAACGGGGATGACCTTTCAAACAGCGATATGAAAAGAGTTGAAGAAAAGTGATGGAATCGGTATGGGAAACAGAGATTTGGTATGGGAAAGAGGATTGGGAAAACAGTGGGGTACAATCTTTGAAATTCTTCTCGAAGGCTATCAGATTCTCAGAAAAAAGTTGAATTCAGTCTGCAAAGGGTGAGGGTTCGGAAATGAGAAGGCTTCTATGGTTTGTTCTTTCGGGCTTTCTTAGTAATCAGTCAGAGTCAGTTTGAGTGAGCTTTGAAAGAAACATGCGGATGCATGCTGAGGAGATTCGTAGAGAGGCTAGCGACGTTGCGAAAACGCCTTGGCAAACACACACGCAATGAGTGATCATTTGTTCTCATGTATTGTTACAACGGCACACAATGAATCCTGAACCTTTTCAAGAATTCCGGGTGATTGTCATGAGTCGATGCCTTTTATTGCTACTTCAGACAGATAGATCGGCAGCGGGGTATGTTTGGGTGGCGTTCTGAATGGTGTCTGATTCAGTTGGTTGGAGTTCTTTGACTGTTGCCCTATCGAATGAATTAGTTGTTTTTTGTTGTTATACAAGACTGAAATGAACCATTCGCGCTTTCAGTAAACAAGTTTTCCATCACTCTGGGGTTGGTTAATTGGTACCAGACGAGGCTGGGAGATTAAAGGCACTGAGATGTATATTGACTGGTCACCATAAGTCAATATATAGCAGTCAATACATTCAAAACGCTACAGCGATCTGAACAAAAGTCAGATTGGAGCCTCTCCCAGAACGGGATTGGTCAACGTCGAGGACTTTGACCCTTATCCTTTACTCTACTGTCAGAAAGACCACACCTTTCAGGACTGGGTACCATTGATGGACCAGGACTAGGTATCATTGATGGTGAAGGACTTTTTAAGGCTCCTCAGAATTGTATTATGCTAAGTAGAGTACGAAAATTGTAGAAACCTTGAGAGGCGCCACTTTCATCGAAATGAGCTAATTGAGGTATAGCGTGCAAGAGGTGTCAAAATGCCAGATTGCTTCCGCCCTTTTTGCACTTTCCCATCCGTTCGCGGAGGCAGCGAAGCAACGAAATCTTAAGTTAGGGTGTTTTCAGTTTCCCTCAGCACTTTACTAGTTTGTGTTGCAGCGGTTGAATCGATGTAGGCGCTTTCTGGTGATTTTTAGCGATTAAATGAAGGTTGTAGCGTTCACCAAGTATTTAAGATGTTCTTATTGGTTTGAATAGAAATCTCGTTACTAACATTAAATTTGGGACTCAAACTCCGAGCAAAAGTCTTTGTCACAGGTTGCTACTACAATAAGCAGATACATTGTGATTATTTACATGTTTACTGCTTTAATGTTTATAAGACATGTTTACTGAGAATATCATCAGGACGTTATGAAGATCAATACAATAGTTTCTTACAATGTTCATTTGCTCAATATATTTCTACTAATCAATAAAACAGTGCAGATTGAAATTTGGGGAAATCTTAAGTTCAAATTCAAAAAGTTTATAGAAATAATGAAACTCTGAACATTGAACTCGAATGATTTCGTCCTGCGGGACATATGAATCATCTCAGTGTCAGGCCAGTGCGATGCTTTTTTTTTAATGGCGATTTCTTATAAGTCAGAATATTTATGAGGTTTCGAGTGAGCTGGGAGGCCGTGCCTCAGCTTTTAAAACTGTTACCACTTTTCAACCCTATTCTTGGGAAACGGATTGAATTCGTCTTGGGAAACCGAGGGGACAGCCATATCCACTGAACAGTGCTATGGCTATCATTAGGGTCTGAAATCTCTGGCAGTCTAGTCTCACAGGCGTGACCGTAAAAGTTACTGTCATAAACATAAGTCTTTAAATCCCCTATAAGTTGTTTACTAGTCAAACTACTTCCGGGAGCGAACTTTCGGCGGGGTAGAAATTATTCTACTTCTTTGAAGTGGTGATGCCTATGTCACAAGCGGCACTAACTCCCAAGCTTATTGGCTGTAGTATTCATGATGGGGGACTCGACCATTTCCAAAAACCTTCAGGTTGGAAGGTTTTTCCTAAGATTCACAATAGGTATCAATGTAACTGTCAGTCACGGCAAAAGAGAGCGACAATTTTCTACAGAATGATTCACCTACAAATCGGTCATATTTTTCTCAGAAACATTATCTATACAACATCAATACATTACTTCAATACAGAAATATGTTCAGTGATATATGGTTACAATAGCATCTGTGAAAAGGTTGAGTGTGATCGAGGTACAGGTCATGGTCGGAAAAAAAGTTAAAAAGTTAAGAGGTAGCCAATTTTGTTGAGCTTTTAATATTCATTAGGGTGTTTGCATGTTACTCAGAAAATTTTTGCATTATAAAATATTCAGCTTTTAATGATTTATTAACTGGTTTAATGATGGAGTGAGAGAGTGGGCGACGATTAATTAAAACATGCCCGTCTGATTGTTTGCAATGAGCGCGCTGTTATGGCAATGTGTGAAGTAAAAAATGATAGCGTATACATATACATCACAGTGAGCACTTGCCGCAAAGACTGTCGAAGTAGTAGGGCTCTAATTGAGCGGGCAGTTGAGACATGCAGAGGCACACCTGCTGGTAGCGACCGTTTAGGGAACGTTTTGACAGCGAGACGTCAATGAGTGAGTGTGTATGTGTGTGTAATAATTGTTGCCGTTTTTCATTTGCTGATGAAAGGAAGATCGTTCTTATTAGGAGAGCAGGTGCAAAGAGAGAATTCCACATATTTCCCATTGCATAGAGCCAAAAAATTCCAGCTCTCACGTTCTATGTCCCCGATCTGTTTCGCTCAGTTTCTTCCGCCCTGATAAATTATCTGCAGGCCACTCCACCTTGCTACTATTATTTTTATGAGTTTTTTTTNNTTTTTTTTGCAGGAAATCGCTGAACAAACAGGTGATCATGAAGCGGTTCGTCGCCTTCAACAAGAACTGGAGGAGCTGGATTCGAGAGCTGAACGAGCGGTTTGTTTAATTTGCTTTCATTGTTTATCGCTATTCCTTCTTCAACTGAAAGTATCTCCCCTTCAATTTCTTTTTTTCATGATTTGAGACATCTCATCTGGGTTTCCTAAATGCTTTTTAGCGCATCAATTCACTTACTAAAGACCCAGTTCACGATATTTCTGTGGTACCATTTTGAAGGTAAAAAGCGGGAGTTGGTAGGGAATAGTGCAGCGGAAGGAAGCGAGAAAATTTGCCGATTTCGTGAAAAAACAGGCTCCTCAAAAGTAGTGAAAATAGAGGTCGTACGAGATTACCATGACGAAAGTGTCTTGCAAGGGGTATTTGGACGAGATTTCAGTCTTTGCAATTGCGCAAAGAGCTGACCACATTAGGATAAAACTGTCCAGAATTGCCTTTCACTGGGTCATGACAAGTTGTTTGAACTTCCTACGTGGGTTCCCTTATACAGCCTCCACAATGCCTTTGAAACTCGTCCGCCTGTACACGCGCGACAACCTTTGAGCCTTTATTACGCCTTATCTAGGCCGTTTTAAGACCTGACAGCGCCACATATGTACGGTATACGAAGGGGCCTCAATTTACCCGAGCGGGATATCTCATAAACCATTTTTATCGTAAACTGTGCCTTCAAAGGAGAAGTTGCATCAGTTAGAACTGGTCGTGAAGTTATCACCAAAAAGCGCCTGTTGCTACAAAATCGTTGGGGTTTTTTTCTTTCATCCGCCTACAGTGTATTGTATTGGTTTGGGACTGGAAGGAATTTCACTTTTGGCATTTCAGGTTCAAAACAGCAAAACGGGATTATTAGTTCGATAATCCGACCTCGTGAAATTAGTTTAGGGTAATGGCCCGAAATTTACAAGCTGTAGGCCGAACATAATATCTTTTTATGGGACGGGCTCTGTCCGTGGTCAGTCCCAATTCCAAACTCCGAGCGTTAATCATTACCCTTCCAAAGAATCGTTACTCCCTTCGGTACTCGACGTCGATAAGTTCATTATGAATAGTTGTGGCAAAGGCAATTGACATTCTCGTCCACGGTATGGATTTACGATTCTCTTTTTGCAAGCATTCCCATTGCGACTTTCAGAAGGTCAAGGAAAAAGTCGGCGGCACGAGATATGTGTGTAGGAGTGTAGAATGCAAGCGAATCCAGTCAATGACACTCCCACTCTTATAATGTCCACATTGCAGGAGAAAAAACGATGTGCGGACATATCCGCGATCAACTGGATAAATCAGCGCAATCGCAACAAGATGAAGGAACAGTTTCTCGGCGATCGGGTCGAGATCGATATGGGACATCAGGATGATCCGTTTACGCGGAAAAAGGGACTCATGAAGGTAAGTGTGATAATGCCAGACCGTAAGGGTCCACAACGCGTGTCAGGTTTTCTTTCGTTTCCTCCAGGTGGCTACTTCGTGAACGATGACGTACTGAGAAAAGGGCATCAGATCAGTGCTTGGGAATTAATTTTACCCTTGGGGTTGCTATCTTTCGATTCAAGCTGTTGCTATCGGATTTGAACTCATTCCTTCCCTGAGTTTGAGCAATAAGGAGAGTCAGGGTTGTCCTGGCGGGACTGCAAAATGTTTATCGTTGCTCGATTTGGAACTATTCAAAACATGACAATTCGTGGGTAGGCGAGGTCGAAATCTAAGTGGTCAGTTCTACCGTACAGGCTAGTCAAGCAATTTTGATCATGATTTACTTTTCCTCCTTTCACTAATAAACGGAGTAGGAGCTCCCTCTATGGTTGACCTGGGTGGGGCATGCATTCGTGAATTGTCTAGCAGTCACGAAGCTACATAATGATGCTTATTTTGCGGAAACTACTTGCTGGAAGATGATTAAGTCAATTCTCTCAGGTTCTGTCCTTCTAGCCAGGGTCGATCCCATCTTGGCCTAGAAGCTATGGACAAATAACTTTCCAACCTCTCAGACAAGATTATCACTGAACTCTTGACTTCAGCGGGACGAGAGTCGCTCTTTTTTCTGATTTTTACTATACTTTACCCAAGAGGACGTGCCCACACTACGAAGTTTATTTATCCAGTCCACGAAATCTGTCTGTAGGCAAAAACAAGCAAGCTGTCATCGTGTTCCATTGCTGATGTCATTTTCACTGATATCCCCTGACGAGTTGTTCGAAATTTGTTCTGCAAGAGTTGCGGTTGGAAAAGCTGAACTTTAAGGACTTCCTAGCAGTGGTGGGGACAGATGGGCTTGGTCTGCTGATCTCAGCAGGTAACTGGAGACTCGAATCGTGTATTAACATAAATGGTAAAGATGGCAGAGGCTTTTTTCGAGTTTTTCCAACGAGTCCGAACGAAAAGGATATTTGGTGTTCAGGTGCAAACTTTTATTTTACAGGTGGTTTCCGGTACCAAAGGAGGCGCACAGCTGCTCGAGGCGGGAACTTCGAGTGAGTTCAAGTTTCTTGACTTTTCTGAACCAGAGAATTACCGTTGAAAGGCAAGGTCGGACTTGGAAGTTCGGTAGCAGTCTTCGTCTCCCATTCCCATAAAGTCTCCTCTTTTGGCAAACCCCTTCCCCCTTCTCACTGCACCCTTCACTCCCATGCCTGACGTCATTACTTCAATAGGTAACTGACAATGTGCTACAAGGGGTATTGAATATGAAGATGGGCTAGTACAGTCTTAATATTAGGTTGGCAAATAAGTCCTGCGACAAAATGGAGACCCTTTTTTAATCATTTCTAATTTTTTCCATATCAGTCAACTTCCGGAA